CACACTGTCCTCACTGTCCTCCTCCTCACTGTCCCCATGCACACTGTCCTCATCTGCACTGTCCTCACTGTCCTCATTCTCACTGTCATCATCCACACTGTGCTCATCCTCACTATCCTCATCCTCTCTGTCCTCACTGTCCTTATCCTCACCATCCTCAGTGTCCTCATCCACTCTTTCCTCATCCACACTGTCCTCACTGTCTTCATCCTCATGTCCTCATCTACACTGTCCTCACTGTCCTCATCTTGCCTGTCCTCATCCTAACTGTCCTCATCCTAACTGTCCTCATTCACACAGTCCTCATCCTCACTGTCCCATGTCCTCATACACTCTGTCCTCATCCCCCCTGTCCTCATCCATACTGTCCTCATCTCCATTGTCCTCATCCACACCGTTCTCACTGTCCTCATCCACATTGTCCTCATCCACACTGGCCTAATCCTCACTGTCACCATCCACACTGTCCTCGCTGTCCCATGCTTTCTGTCCTCATCCTACTGTCCTCATCCTCACTGTCCTCATCTACACTGTCATCACTGTCCTCATTCTCACTGTCCTCATCTTCACGGTCCTCATCCACACTGTCCTCATCCTCACTGTCCTCATCCTCACTGCCCTCATCCTCAGTGTCATCTTCCTCACTTTCCTCATCCACACTGTACTCACTGTCCTCATCCACATTGTCCTCAGTGTCCCATACACAGTGTCCTCATCCTCCCTGTCCTCATCTTCACTGTTCTAATCCACACTATCCTCATGCACACTGTCCTCATCCTCACTGTCCTCAATGTCCTCATGCACACTTTCCTCACTTCCTCATCCTCACTGTCCTCTTCCTCACTGTCCTCACTGTCCTCATCCTTACTGTCCTCATCCTCACTGTCATCATCCACACTGTCCTCCCTGTCCTCATCCACACTGTCCTCATCCACAGTGATCTCATCCATACTGTCTTCCCTCTCTTCAACCACACTGTCCTCATCCAAACTGTCCTCATCCTCCCTGTCCTCATCCAGAGTGTCCTCATCCAAACTTTCCTCATCCTCACTGTCCCCATCCTCATTGTCCTCATCCTCATTCTCCTCATCCACACTGTCCTCACTGTCCTCAACCTCACTGTCCTCTTCCTCACTGTCCTCATCCATACTGTCCTCACTGTCCTCATCCACACTGTCCTCATCCTCAATGTCCTCACTTTCCTCATCCTCACTGTCCTCATCCATACCTTCCTCACTGTCCTCATTACACTGTCCGCACTGTACTCACCCACACTGTCCTCATCCACTCTGTCCTCACTGTCCTCCTCCTCACTGTCCTCATCCACACTGTCCTCATCCTCACTGTTCTCAGTCACACTGTCCTCACTGTCCTCATCCACACTGTCTTCATCCACACTGGCCTCATTTACACTCTTCTCACTGTGCTCATCTTCACTGTCCCCACGGTCCTCATCCACATTGTGCTCACTGTCCTCATCCACACTGTCCTCACTGTCCTCATCCTCACTGTCCTCATGCTCACTGTCCTCTTCCACATTCTCCTCATCCTCACTGCACTCATCCACAGTGTCCTCATACTCACTGTCCTCATCCTCACTGTCCTCATGCTCAATGTCCTCACTGTCCTCATTCACACTGTCCTCATCCTCAGTGTCCTCACTGTCCTCATCCTCACTGTCCTCATCCATACTGTCCTCACTGTCCTCATTACACTGTCCTCACTGTCCTCATCCTCACTGTCCTCATCCACACAGTTGTCATCCACACTTCCTCACTGTTCTTATCCTCACTCTCCTCATCCACACTGTCCTCATCAACTCTGTCCTCACTGTCCTCATCCACATGTCCTCATCCTCACTGTCCTCATCCACACTGAACTCACTGTGCTCATCCTCACTGTCCTCATCCTCACTGTTCTCATCCATACTGTCCTCACTGTCCTCGTCCTCAGTGTCCTCACGCACACTGTTCTCATCTATACTGGACTCATTTACACTCTTCTCACTGTCCTTATCTTCACTGTCCTCACGGTCCTCATCCACATTGTGCCCACTGTCCTCATCCACACTGTCCTCACTGTCCTCATCCACACTGTCCTCATCCTCACTGTCTCAATGTCCTCATACTCACTGTCCTCATCCACACTGTCCTGATCCAGACTATCTTCACTGTCCTCATCCTCACTGTCCTCATCCACTCTTTTCTTATCCACAATGTCCTCACTGTCCTCATCCTCACTGTCCCCATCCACACTGTCCTCATCCGCACTGTCCTCATCCTCACTGTCCTCATCCACACTGTCCTCACTGTCCTCATCCTCACTGTCCTCATCCACTCTTTCCTCATCCTCACCATCCTCACTGTCCTCATCTACTCCTTCCTCATCCTCACTGTCCTCACTGTCCTCATCCTCCCTGTCCTTATCCTAACTGGCCTCATCCACACTGTCCTCATTCACACAGTCCGCATCCTCACTGTCCCATGTCCTCATACACACTGTCCTCATCCCCCCTGTCCTCATCCACACTGTCCTCATCTTCATTGTTCTCATCCACACCGTCCTCACTCTCCTCATCCACATTGTCCTCATCCACACTGGCCTAATCCTCACTGTCCCCATCCACACTGTCCTCTCTGTACCATCCTTTCTGTCCTCATCCTACTGTCCTCATCATCACTGTCCTCATCTACACTGTACTCACTGTCCTCATTCTCACTGTCCTCATCTTCACGGTCCTCATCCACACTGTCCTCATCCTCACTGTCCTCATCCTCACTGTCCTCATGCTCAGTGTTATCTTCCTCACTTTCCTCATCCACACTGTACTCACTGTCCTCATCCACATTGTCCTCAGTGTCCTCATCCACAGTGTCCTCATCCTCCCTGTCCTCATCTTCACTGTTCTAATCCACACTATCCTCATGCACACTTTCCTCACTTCCTCATCCTCACAGTCCTCATCCTCACTGTCCTCACTGTCCTCATCCTCACTGTCCTCATCCACACTCTCCTCATCCAAACTGTCCTTCCTGTCCTCATCCACACTGTCCTCATCCACAGTGATCTCATCCACACTGTCCTCCCTCTCCTCAACCACACTGTCCTCATCCTCACTGTCCTCATCCAGAGTGTCCTAATCCACACTTTCCTCATCCTCACTGTCCCTATCCTCACTGTCCTCATCCTCACTCTCCTCATCCACACTCTCCTCACTGTCCTCATCCTCACTGTCCTCATCCACACTGTCCTCACTGTCCTCAACCACACTGTCCTCATCCTCACTGTCCTCATCCACACTGTCCTCATCCACACTGTCCTCATCCACACTGTCCTCACTGTCCTCAACCACACTGTCCTCATCCTCACTGTCCTCATCCACACTGTCCTCATCCACACTGTCCTCATCCTCACTGTCCTCATCCACACTGTCCTCACTGTGCTCATCCTCACCATACTCACTGTCCTCATCCATACTGTCCTCATCCACACTGGCCTCATTTACACTCTTCTCACTGTCCTCATCTTCACTGTCCACACCGTCTCATCCACACTGTCCTCACTGTCCTCATCCACACTGTCCTCATCCTCACTGTCTCAATGTCTTCATACTCACTGTCCTCATCCACACTGTCCTCATCCAGACTATCTTCACTGTCCTCATCCTCACTGTCCTTATCCACTCCTTCCTCATCCACACTGTCCTCCCTGTCCTTCACCTCACTGTCCTCATCCACACTGTCCTCATCCACACTGTCCTCACTGTCGTCATCCTCATGTCCTCATCTATACTGTCCTCACTGTCCTCATCCTCACCATCCTCAATGTCCTCATCCACTCTTTCCTCATCCACACTGTCCTCACTGTCCTCATCTCCCTGTCCTCTTACACACTCTCCTCATCCTCACTTCCTCACTGTCCTCATCCACACTGTCCTCATTCTCACTGTCCTCATCCTCACTGTCCTCATCCACACTGTCCTCATCCTCACTGTCCTCACTGTCCTCATCCACACTGTCCTCTTCCACACTGTCTTCACTGTCCTCATTCTTACTGTCCTCATCCTCACTGTCCTCATCCTCACTGTCCTCATTCTCACTGTCCTCATCCACACTTTCATCATCCCCACTGTACTCATTCACACTGTCACTGTCTTCATCCTCACTGTCCTCACTGTTCTCATCCACGCTGTCCTCATCCTCAGTGTCCTCATCCACAGTGTCCTCATCGACACTTTCCTCATCCTCACTGTCCCCATCCTCACTGTCCTCATCCTCACTCTCCTCAACTACACTGTCCTCACTGTCCTCATCCTCACTGTCCTCATCCTCAATGTCCTCTTCCTCACTGTTCTCATCCACACAGTTCTCACTGTTCTCATCCACACTTTCCTCATCCTCTGTGTCCTCGTCCTCACTGTCTTCATCCTCACTGTCCTCATCCACACTGTCCTCATCCTCACTCTCCTCATCCTCACTCTCCTCATCCACACTGTCCTCATTCACACTGTCCTCACTGTCCTCATCCTCACTGTCCTCATCCACACTGTCCTCACTGTCCTCATCCTCACTGTCCTCATTCTCATTTTCTCAGTGTCCTCTTCCTCACTGTCCTCATCCTCACTGTCCTCATCCACTCTGTCCTCATCCACACTGTGCCTATCCACACTGTGCCCATCCACACTGTCTCCAACCACACTGTTCTCATCCCCACAGTCCTCATCCACACTGTCCCCATCCACACTGTCCTCTCCCACATTTCCCCCGTTCCATACTGTCCCCATTTTATTCTCTTTCCATCCTTGTCAGGCTATCTCACACTTCCTTCTCCCCCAGGTTTCACAGTGCCCTGTATCTGATGTGTCGTGGACATACCACTAATTGTCTGAAAGCAGATGTCCCCCTGAACTTGAGCCCACAATTACTAGATGCTTTCATTGCTGCCCACTGAGCAGGTGCTTGCAGGGTGTGATGTAAATTTGTCTCCATTTCCCTTTTTAGAAATCATCTACATTTGCATCCTAACAAGCCCAGAAAATGAATTTCCTCTCATCTTTGATAGACCATCCTACAAGTTTGATGTGTCAGAAACAAGACCAGGTGTGTAGGGGCCAAATCACAGATCATACACTCTTTGCCAGGCTTCATCTGACTTCAGGCTCTGAACAGGCATGGCTCCTGACATTGACCACAGTAGGCTTTCCCAGGTTCATGGTTGACTTGTGTTGTTTATTGCATCCTTCCTTCCTTTCTTCTTCTCTCTACCTTCCTTCCTCCCTCTCCCCTCCTGCCTTCCCTCCCTCCCTCCATCTCTTGTCTCCCTCCTTCTCTGCCTCTCTCCTTCCCTCCCTCCCTTCTTTCCTTCTCTCCTTCTCACCCCTCATTCTCTCTCCCCTCTCTCCCTCCCTTCTTCCTTGTCTCTCACCCTCCATCCCTCCTTCCCTCCACCCCTCTCTCCTCTCCTCCCATTGATCTTTTTCCTTCAGAGACTTCATTGGGAAACATGGGGTTTGAAAACTTTTTTAAACTGCATATCTCTGAATGCTCTTATTGCTTACTTGTCTGTCTGTCTGGTTTCTACTAATCCCCCATGTTGTAGACTAAGTTTTTTCTTGGTCTCCTCTGTGATTTTTAATTTACTCAGAGAGTTAGAATTTTCAAGTACAGAAAAGATTTCCCACTTTTCTAGTTTCTTTATTTAAAGACAAAATAAGAGTGTCTTCCTCTTCTTGAGTTAACTGGCCATATTATTTTCTGTCTTCCATTATAATAATACTTTGATTTCTATGGTCTATTCACCAGTTAAGAAAAGAGTCTGGTGATGGACATGGTGGGTCATGCCTGTATTCCATGCACTTCGGAGGTGGCTCCACGGGGGACAGGATTTCAGGGTCATCTGTTACCATACAGCAAGTTCAATATCACCCTGGACTGCATGACACCCTGCTAGAAACACACACACTTGAGTGCACACACACGTGAACACACACATGCACACACAGAGGGGAAGCAGATGATGCATAGGTAGAGTTAGCTTTCTATTGTCTAGAGTATTCTTTCAGATCTAATAGATCCTCCCCAGCCATGTACCTTGACATCATGGGTATTTCTTCTATAATGGAAAAAAACCAAATCAGAGTATCCCACCCCAATTACTCCTATCCATTTTATTCTCATGACACTCATTGTTTTCTGACATTTTAAAACAAAACACAAGGAGGGGCGCACATTTGTTAGCTCATTACAGGGACCACAGTTGTTAGCTCCTTACAGGGGAGGACTACAGAGCTAAATAGAGAATTCTCAGTAGAGGAGGCTAAAATGGCCAAGAGACACTTAAGAAAGTGCTCAACATCCTTAGCCATCAGGGAAATGCAAATCAAAACAACTCTGAGATACCATCTTACTCCTGTCAGAATGGCTAGAATCAAAAACACCGAAGACAATTTATGCTGGAGAGGATGTGGAGAGAGGACTATTAGTTTCTTACAGGGAACATAGTTGTTGGGTCCACATGGGGAGCATATTTGTTAGCTCCCTATGGGGAGCATAGTTAGTTTCCTTCACATTGCCCTGTGTACTCTCTATGTTCAACAGGACCAAGCATCTCACAAACCTACTGTGGTTTTGCCATCTTCCCTGGGTCACATACTTGATGCTGGCCTGTGGAACTGAATGGCAAGGTCTCTGGCCCACAGGAGTGGAATTTATGAGAAAGGACTTCTATAAAACAAGCAAACCAGAACTTCAACAACCCTACCAACTTGTAAACTAAGCAGAAATAGCAGAATTTAAACCTCTATAGTCAGTCTTCACCAATGGCTATATTCCTGTTTTAGATTTACCTATTTTTATTTTATGTGTACGGATGTTTTGCCTGTGGGTATGTACGTGCATCGTGTGACCACCTGGTGCTACAGAAGCCGGAAGAGAGTGTCCAGATCTTCCCAAACCAGAGTTGCAGATGGCTGCAATCCATCATATGGGTGCTTACAATCAACCCTGGGTGCCCTGAAGGAGCACCAGGTGCTCTTAACCATTGAGACATCTCCTAGCCCCAAGAGTTCACTATAGGAAAATTGAAAACTTTTTAAGAGACTTTTAGACTGCACTATTGCTGAAAGTTGGGTGTGGGGATGTGCTTAGTTGTTCTCACCATTTGTGGTGGTGATACAATGAGTGCCTTTGAGCTTCTATAGGGTGTGAATTCTCTCTCCCTCCTCCAATATTGCTGGGTCTACTGGCCCAGTCACTCCTTGGGTGTTTATTTGCATTCTTTGAATTTAATAGAATTGAATATTTAAAATATCCAGGCTTCTGGCAACTAGGAAGCCTCCAAAAGTCTGGCAGTGAGGACACTTTCCCCCAAGTCAGTGTTAATCATTCTCCATTCCTGCAGCTGGAACCCGAGTTGGGTGGGTGCGAGCGATGGACAGAGACCTCCCCCAGAGGACCGTGGTGTATTCCATAGCCAGTGGAGGGGCCAGCCACTGGTACCCAAACATATTTTGGATTAATCCCAAGACAGGAGAACTCCGACTCGTAACTAAAGTGGACCATGAAACCACTGCCATCTACGTTCTCACAGTCGAGGCCACCAATGGCGAGGACACAGGCTCGGTCACTGTGAGTTGGGGCTGTTGGGACTCTCCACCTTCCCCCAGAGGGCTGACTAGAGTCTCCCTGGCACCGTCAGCATGTGGCTGCAGCAAGATGGGTACATGAAGAGGAGTAGCAGTTCCCAGGACACACAGATCACAGCTCTACTTGAGGCTCGCATTTATGAGTGGTTGAGGGAAGCGCTAAGACTGATGGCAAGTACTGGTGATTGGTGTGTGTGTCTGCTGAACCCACAAGACACTTTGTGGGACAAAGTTCCTCCTAGTGCCCTCTGAATCTTGCTCTGTCTTCTTTGGGTTGGTGGCAAGTGGCAAGCTGCCAGTCACTGTAGTTCCTAATCTGTCCCTGAAGCAGCATTGCCTGTTTCTGTCCCACAGCCACGCTCACCAGATGGGGTAGATATTATGTGATGTTGTGACTCAACCTTGTGCCAGTCTGTTTGGGCCTTTGGTATGGGTGGCTTGTAGTGGAATATGTGGGGTATTTTTTAAGGGGGAGGGTTGTTTTTATGCTTGCTTTTTGTTGTTGGTTTGGTTTTTTTGGGACAGGGTTTCTCTGTGTAAGTACCCTGGCTGCCCCGGAACCCCCTCTATGGATCAGGCTGGCCTCCCCCGTGATGGGATTGAAGGCGTGTGCCACCACTGCCCGGCAGCTGTGTTTTAGACAATGCTCATTCCCATCTCAAGAGTCAGGAAGGAAGCAAGAAGACAGGCCAGGGTCCCACAATCCCTTTGAGAGGGTCCCGTACTGGCCTGTGCAGTTCCCATGAGGCCCTCCCTCCCACAGTCACCACACTCCACATCCGTACCAGGTCGGGCACAAGCGTGTGGCACATGCCTGCTGCCACGCTGCTGCCCAGTGTTCCGTGCGGAGGCTCACATTAAATGCGGGTTCTCAGTGCACTGTGTGCAGGGCCTTAGTTCCCAGGCCACACCCGACACGGTTTCCAGGGGCGCCAGTGCTGCACACAGGCATCCCGGAAGTGGGTCTGCGGGGTGAGTGTGGGGATGACCTGAGGGCTACACCGTGGTGCTGAAGATCCACTCGTAAGGTGAAAGAGCGCGAGGGAAGTGACTCGGGTGGCAGCTGGTGGCTGTGTGGTGGGGACAGCAACTGGCTTTGCAGTGGGGAGAACGCATTCATTTGCTTTGCAGTGAGGAGAACGCATTCATTTCTCAGCCATGCTCCCAAACGCATTCATTTCTCAGCCATGCTCCCAATGAGAGGGTACGGGTAAGGCTTATCTCTACGACCCGACCCGACTTCTGCAGAAAGTCACGTGATAGGCCAGTGCCAGAGCAGTTTAGTTCCTCCAGAGACTTGCTTTGAATTAATGGGAGGAAGTTTTTAGCCATGCATGAGGCTCTGAATTGCTGGCCAAGGAAACTTGGTGATAATTGCAGTGTTTGTTAGGCTGTATCTTTTTCCTTCTTTAATTTTTTTAACGAGAAAAATGAATGGACTCTACTCTGGGAGTTAACTAAAGTGAACATTTCAATTTATTCTCAGTCTCAGAAATAGCTGAAACGCCTAAATTTCAAAAGTAGAAAGAATACGACTCAAAGTTCATAAGCCTTTAAAAAGGGTGATGAGCCAAAATGATCACATAAGTCCCTTTCAGGATTGACACTGTGGGGTCCCATGCTGGCAGGAGTCCCAGTCAGTTCACCAGGCCCGACACAACAGTGAGAGACCAGCCAGTCTGTGTGGGGCAGGTCAGCCAAGGACTCTGCAGTTCTGAAAACCCAGGCCAGGTGAGACCCTGGCAAATCCAGGGCTTTGCTCTAGTCTCTTGTTTCTTAGGCCTGGCTGCACAGTACTGTCAGCTGAGGAACATACAGAAAGTGCCTGGGCACCACTCTCCAGGGACTCCAAGTGGCCCCAAGAAAATAGATGCAGCATTGAGAACCATTGTGGTGCACACCAAAATCAGAGACTAATTTCAGGTTCACCCAGGAACAGTGCCTAAGTAAATATTTGGGTTCCCATAAGTCCATGGCCATTGTGGAAAGAATGTGGCACTGTCTTTGGAGAGCATGTGTGTTGAGGGATGACATTTGCGTATCCGCATACTCACCATGCATACACATACCTGCACATGCACACACACAGCAGGCGATGTTTGCGTATCTGCATACTATACATGCACACACACACAGATTGTATACGTATATCTACATACTGTACATGCTCACCAGAACACCTGTACAAGCACACACACAGATGATATATGTATATCTGCATACTCTCCATGCACACACACAGATGACATACGTATATCTGCATACTGCACATGCACACACATGCACACACACATGATATGTGTATATGTGCATACTTTTCATGCACACACACAGATGATATACATATATCTGCATACTGCAATGCACACATACAGATGATATACATATATCTGCATACTGTACATGCTCACCCGTACACCTGTACATGCACACACACAGATGCTGACAGCAAAGGATTTGGAGCAGGCTAGAGCTACACTGAACTCTTACCCAGCCCCTCACTGTTGAGTGGTTTTATGTCAATTACTTGCTGTCTCTCAACCACCCTTTCTCATCTGTAGGTGGGAGCTATCACATTCTTACTCACATATGAGGTTAGATCAGTGAATTCATGCAAATTGCATATGCTACACAGTGAGCACTCACTACCTTTTAGCTCTTAAGAATAACTGTCTTAGGCTGATAAATGGCTTGGTAGGTAAAGGCACTTGCTGCCAAACCTGGAAACTCGAGCTTGACCCCTGGGGTCCACAGGGTGAAAGAACAGGTTTTCCTCTGACTTTTGCCTGTGCAGCACGCAAATACACACTGAAGAAAATGTAGTAATCATTCAACCACCTGCCTGCTATTCTAGGTAACTGTGAACATCATTGGAGAAAATGACGAAAAGCCAGTGTGTACCCCACATTTTTACTTCATGGCCATCCCAGTGGATCTGAGAGTCGGCACAAACATTCAGAATTTCAAGTTGACGTGCACTGACCTTGATTCTAGCCCCAGATCTCTTCGCTACTCCATTGGTTCAGGTACTATACTCGGCTTCCCACAGTTCTGGGCCACTGACAGAGGGGAAGGACAGTGGGCGGTTGCTCACACCGATGAGGGCACAGTGTGGGCATGGGGGGCATAGTTTGCACGGGGAAAGACAGCTGACTTTACAAGGGTCTGTGTGTTCACCTGCGCTCTACCAGCTTTCATGCCTCAAGCAGGTTCTCCCCAACCAGACTTACCCTCACATGGCTGTCCCAAGATCCCAGGAAGGAGGAATTCTTTCAGTGGAATACTCTCCCCAAATTCCCAGAATATAACGAATGCAATTTTTGTAGTTCATCTCCTCACCACCTCTTTCCCTGAAAAACCTGTCGTGGGGGAAGGGAATCTTAGTCCTCTCTCAGGCTAAGAGTAGATGAATGCATTTTGAAATGTGTCCTCAGCAATACTCTGTGCCGTTCATTTTCTTTCTTTAAAAACTGCCGTTGTGGGAAAGAAGGAGGGGAAAGAGCCCCTCTCAATGGAAATGAGACCAGAATAGCTCATCTAACGAGGTTCCAGGGCCAGAGATTTAAACCCAAATAAGCAGAGCAATTCCACAGGAAAGGCTAAAAATCCATGTTTGTTGAGCCTGGCAGAGCGCTGGGAAGCCGCTGAGCCACTGCCTGTACAGGGGCAGACACTGCCTAAAGACCACAGCTGCCGAGGGTGGAAATAATCCATACTGAGAGTCCTGAGAGCCTTACGGAGCACTTCGCTGCTAAGGAAATAAAAATTGCATCATCTGCTCCATTTACTGGTTTTCAGTCAGTAATAGGTCTGGAGACTCCAGAGGGGGAGCAAGAGCCAGGATTGGGCCGCATCCTTCCTGCCCCAGCTTCTGGAGCTTGAGGTTGTGGACCCTCCAACAGCGTGTGTCTGTGTGTATGTCTCTCTGTGTCTGTCTGTATGTCTGTGTGTCTGTCTCTGTATGTCTGTATGGTATGTCTCTGTGTGTCTGTCTGTGTGTCTATGTATGCGTCTGTGTGATATCTATATGTATGTCTATGTATGTGTGTGTCTGTGTCTGTTTATATGTATGTGTTTGCATGTATCTCTGTGTGTGTCTGTGTGAGTCTGTGTGTGTGCAGGAGGCCAGTGGGGAGAATTCCCAAGAACCTGGGCCTGAAGTCCTTGCAACTTAAGAAGGTATCTTCCTTTAGGAGGACTTCAAGATTCCCTGTCACCAGCATGTCCAGACAGCTCCACAAAAGGCATAGGGTGAACGTGGGTCATGGTTAAGGGTGTCACTAACTCTAGGACCTTGCTGCCAACTCACTGGCCTCAGTCAACGTTGACATGTACCTACATTGCAATGGAATGCTGGCTGCTAAACTATCAGGAGCTGCACCAGAACAATTAATTCTCCTCCTAGCGTCCTAAGACAGGGGTGCTGTGGTCCTTTTATTCAGCCCATTTACACTTGAATGGTATCAGACCCAACCCTGTTACATAAAAAGTAAACTGTGGACATTTGAGGAAATAAAACAAATGTAATTTTTCTTGTCTTTATTTTATGCCCCTTTTACTTCTTTTACCAAATCTCATGGGTCAAATCTCATTTAGGCAACATCAACAGTCATTTCACCTTCTCTCCCAATGCCGGCTCCAATGTCACACGCCTGCTGCTGGCATCCCGCTTTGATTATGCTGGTGGCCTTGATAAGGTCTGGGACTACAAGCTGCTTGTCTACATTACTGATGACAACTTGCTGTCTGGCAGGACAAAAGCTGAGGCTCTTGTTGAAACAGGGACAGTGACACTAAGTGTTAAAGTCACTCCTCATCCAACCTCGGCCATCACCACAGCTCCCAGGGTAAGGACCTGCAATCTCCAGCCATAGCCTTAACATTTATAGCAATGGAATCTTTGACCCAGTGGGATGAGGATTTGTTTGCAAGGACCATTGATCAGTAGATAGAAAGCCGTGTAAGGGCATGGATGTGTAGAGCCACTGGCCTCTCACAGTAGAGAGGAATGCGTCAGCACAGGGACATGTGGTAGACTAAGCAGGGACCACTGTGGTAAAGACTGCATCACTGTGGAAAAACACTTGAGGTAAACAACTCCAACTACAAAAGGTTATTTTGGCTCATAGTTTCTGAAATTTCAGAGTACAGGCTATGTACCTAGGTGAGGGAGAGCAGGGCAGAGGGGCTGAGGAGGGCAGGGCAGAGGGCTGAGGGAGGGCAGGGCAGAGGGCATACTGGAGGGCGAAGAGAAGCATCATTGCAGAAAAGGTGTACTCTCCCCCTCCTCCCTTCCCTCTGCCCTTCTCCGTTCACGTCTCCCTCTTAGAAAACTGCTTATGAGTGAGGCTATCATCTGCTTCTCAGAGTCTTGCTAATAGCTGGTAATTTTCACCTCTCTGGTACTGCAGTCAGGAGACCCCAGGAGCTGGCGGGGCACACTCAGGAGGTAGAGGCAGGTAGGTCTTTATGAGTTTGAGGCCAGCCTGGTCTACAGAGTGAGTTCCAGGACAGCTAGAGAAATTTCGTGGGAGAGGGAGGGAAGGAGAGAGAGGGCGGAGGGAGAGAGACAGAGAGAAAGAGAGACAGAGAGAGAGAGAGACAAGAGACAGACAGAGAGACAGACAGAGGGGAGAGAGAGAGAGAGAGAGAGAGAGAGAGAGAGAGAGAGAGAGAGAGAGAGAGAGAGAGAGAGAGAGAGACCCCAGTGAATAGAGACCCTGTGTGGCTTTCTTTTGCATAGCAGCGAACAAAACATGGACAGAACCACGTAAGAGGAAAGACTTGCAGGAACTCTCAGAGCCCTCGCAGTGAGGCCTCAGCTCCTAAAGTTCTCAGAGCCTCATAAAACAGGGCTACCACCTCGGGGAGCAAGCAGTTCAACATCTCAGCTGGTGGGGGCTTCGTTTTTAATTTATTCAGTTAGAGCTTTCTCTGTGTTCTATTTACGCTGATCATATGCCTCCACATCTGTAGGTGCACAGCATGGATGCAGATGCCCACAGAGGCCAGAAGAGGGCGTTGGGTCTCTGGAACTGGACTCACAGGTGGTCGTGAGCCATCTGATGTGGGTGCTGGGAACCAAACCTGGGTCCTCTTTACAGGAGTCAGTGCGCTTAACTGCTTAACCACCTCCAGGAGGTGCCTTGTGAGACTTCTGTGGTGATTTGCTTGGTGTGTGTGTGTGTGTGTGTGTGTGTGTGTGTGTGTGTGTGTGTGTGTGAAAGAGAGTGTATGTGTGAGAGTGTATCTGTGTGTGAAAGTTTCTGAGAGTGTGTATGTGAGAGTGTGTGAGTGTATGTGAGAGTGTGTGAGTGTATGTGAGTGTGTGAGTGTGTGTGTGTGCACATACATGTGAATTTGTGTCTCACATGTGTGCCACAGCTCACCTGTGGAAATCAGAGGACAACTTGTAGGTGTCCATGCTCTGCTTGCACCAGGTGGGCTCAGGCTTGGCAGCAAGCTCCTTTGCCCTCTGAACCACTGGGGATTTCCAGCTGAACCATAGTACACCCTGGGGACTGGCACTGCAGGACGAGCCCACAGGCTGTCCTTAGGAAGAGGACAGCATAACCCACCGCGACATTTCCAGCCCTGAGATCTCCATGATTTGTTCGTTATCTGTCTCCCACTCTAGGAAGCAGATCCCGAACTTGAAGTTTCCCTGTGGTCACAGCCCACTCATCTGACAGTGGCAGCTGTGTCGAGTGAACACTGAAAAGCCTACTGGGAAATAGCTAGCTGGCCTCTCAGGTCCGAGGAAGGAAAGAGCCAGTGCAGCTAAGTCAGGAGCTAATCCGCAGCTCCCTAACTGTTCTGGGTTTTGATCCGAAGGATAGAGGGTAAAGGAGGGCAGGCTGGAAGTGGCAGGGCCCTGAGCACATAGCTGTGAGGATTGCAGGGCAGGAACTGAGCAGCCTGAACACTGCACACAGGGGACGCTAAATGTCAACAGTGCTCCCACCCACTCTTTCTCCCTCTCTGTCCTTCAGCCCAGGGTCACTTACCAGATCCTCAGGGAAAATATATATAGCTCATCAGCGTGGTACGTGCCATTCACCATCACCCTGGGCTCCTTGGTGATTGTGGGTCTTCTGGGGTCCCTGACGGTCCTGCTGGCCAAAGCTGTCTACATATATTGCTTCTCCATCACCAGAAAGGACAAGAAACCTCTGTAAGTTCTGGTGGGCTGGGGCTTTCCTTGGTTTTTGTTTTTGTTTGTTTATTTGTTTTGTGCAGAGCAGGGTACTTGGCTTGAAGGAGAGAATAGGAGACGAAGTGAAGGAATCCTAGCTGCCCTTGGCCCGGGGACCCACTTTGTCACCTGTGGGTCCAGAACACTGGCTGGCCCTTTGGCTCTCTCTGGCAACTTACGCTGGCCCTGGTGAGATCTGGAGAAATGGGATGTCACCCTTCCAGTGACCTTGCCCTAGATAAAGCCCCACTGAGCATAGCAGTGGAACATAACATGCTCTTCCCAAAAGGGGTATTTGTGGGCACGGATGGAATTGAAGGAAGCAAAACAAAAACAACAACAAAAGCAGATTAGGAAATTACACTTTGGGTACCAGTGACTCCCTTAGACCTTCGTGTCATTAGACCGTTGTTTTCTGGCATGTTACTTCGTCTCCCACCCTCTTGGGAACACAGAAATGACATGCTGGGTTCTGTCCTGCCTGCTCTCACTTGCTCAGGCATTGATTCTTATGTGCACCTGTGTATCACAGACGTCTCCTAGGGCAGGATTCATCCTCCGTAGCTCTTCCAGTCAGAGCTCAGTGGCTTACAGCCAGGATTTTAGAGTTGGTCAAGTTCCAGGTTCAAAACGGAATGCTGTCACATTCTGGGCACCTGAACTTGACTGAGCACATGACAACTCTCTAGGCATCAGTGTCCTCTGTAAACCAAATAAATAAGTCAAACAAAGAGAGCACTAGGTAGTGTTCCTGACACCAGCAAATGCTTCCATCTCCATAGCAGTATTTTGAAATTGCTGCAGCTTTAACTTCATAGCCAAGACCCAATGAGCTCAGAATTCTAGACCATACATTTAACCACAATATGGAATGTCCTGGGAACTGGATTCCCGAATTTCAGGACCTCTCAGTGGCAAAAAGGAATGGATGGGGAATGAATGGTAAGGCTCAAATGGATCTTAGGAGTATCTGAGTATTAGCTGCAACTATCAAGTAACTTTGAGTGTCAGTATGCAAGATGTCATAAAGGCATGCATTGCATTCCACCATATTTATTGGGGGACGTTTGTACTTTTGACAACCTTGACTTCAGGTAAGAAATCCTTGAGCAGCTACTAAATTTAAAAGGACATTTTAGTTTTCATTGCAGTCACAAATCAACTTTGAGAAAGTCAGAAAAAAACCCACCCTGTTTATAAAAAGGTCATATTTAAATTCATACAGATCTCGTATGAGATTTGGGTTTATCCCAGCACTCAGAAGGCAGAGGCAGGAAGATCTCTGTGAGTTGGAGGCCAGCCTGGTCTACAGGGTTATAGAGCAAGTTCCAGGATAGCCAAGTCTACACAGAGAAGCCCTGTCTTGTAAAAAACAAAACAACTAGAGAGAGAGAGACAGAGACAGACTGCGACTTACATGCAAATTATAGCTAAATGGTAAATATGTGTCTTGAACCTGGTTGTTTCTACTCAGATTCTAAATAGAGTTTTCAGCATGGCCCAACCTAAAAGAGAAAATAGCTAGAAATTCAGACTTAGACTAAGACTTGTACTCTCTGAAAGTTAAATGTACAATGTGGTGGCTAACACTTATCAAAGAGCGAGGAATCAAATTAGAATTATTGAATTCCAGGCTATATGACACCATTAGAGACACTGTCTGGCTCTTTCATGTTATATTAAACTGAAGTTAATTGTTGACTTTCCAGGCTCCCTGCTGTGAGCCATGGTCTCTGCTCTGAGGGCTACTGGGGAGAAGAACAGGCTGATGGTCCCATTGGACTAGTTTTGCCTTCCCCAGAGTCACTGTATTCCCTGGAGTTGTAGGAAGCAAGAGTTTCAAACTCTTAGACCCTCTGTAATTCCAGGCTATCACTTGCCAAACTGCTTGGTTTAGAGCAGGACTGGTAACCAAAACTTTTTAGTCCCTATCCCCAGCTCATTCTCAAACTCTAATCCCAAATCCCAAGGAATCCAGATGCCTAGAGGCCCTGTGTTACCGTCTGTGGGCGTGTGCGTGCGTGCGTGCGTGCGTGCGTGCGTGTGTGTGTGTGTGTGTGTGTGTGTGTGTGTGTGTGTGATACTGTCCAGTCAATTAATGCTTGTCCTTTTCCCCACAGGAGAAAGAATGGAGGTATGTACATGGCATGTTCTCTTGGTGTGTCTGCTGTTCATTGCTTGCTCTCTTCAATCAGGGGTATCCATGTCTTGAATGAGGATGCAGAGGGCATCTATGCTGGAACAGGGAAGACCAGGATGCAGGGTGCCTGTACTTGACCCTCTCGCTTTGACCTTGCCTAATTTCTACCCATATTCATCTCTAGTTAACTCAGGTTAACGTCTAGATGTCTCTCCAGGGAACCCAGTTCATCCATACTAGGGACCTCCCTGTGTGTTACACACAGCCAGCATTTCCTGGCTGCTGCCCACAGACAATCTAACAACTCCCAAGGACAGTGAATGCTCTGCCTTGAACAAGTGCTATTCTGGAAGAACAGTGATGCTTTCTTCTCAGATTGTAATGGATTTGATCATTTTTCACAAAGTTCATTGGGTTAGACCAGTTAATTGTTAAATTGATCGAGATCTACTGAGAGTCCCAGGCCCAAAGAGGTATGTCATCCTAATCCTGGCCAAGAGTTGTCACCTTAAGGCTACTCTGAGTTATGGGGAAAGACAGGACATAGAATTGGAAATTCTATGCATTTGAAGAAATGTTTGCTTAAGTCACTCCACACATGTGGGGTGTGTTCTCAGCACAAAGCATACAAGCAGGGCTCAAATTTTTGTTATAATGCTTATTGATGACATGAAGAAAGGTCACAGACTGCTTCCAATCCTGGCTTTAAAAAATAGATTTATTAATTTAATATGTGTGACAGTTTCCCTTAGAGGCCAGACGAGGATGTTGGGGCCCCTAGAATTCAACTAACTGATGGTTATGAGCGACTATGTGGGTGCTGGGGTCAGACTTGTGTCCTTGGCAAGAGCAACACGTGCTGTTTACCACTGAGCCATCTCTCCAGTCCCAAACTCAGTTTTAACCAGCATTTGGGATTGAATGTCAGAAATCCTTTGTTATGAACAAATAGTCTTTCTTATCTCTAAATTCATTAAGGAGCTGATAGCGTAGGACCAGTATACATAATCTAGGAAAATGTTTTAAAAATTAAATTGTATGCTGTGTATAAACTTGTATGTTTTCTGAGAAAACTGAAGGCTGTCAGTGAACTGGGCTGCAAAAAAAAAAAACCTTAAAAACCTTTTCCATGTCTGTAAGAGTCAAAGCCTGTTCAGGGTCAGGGTAGCATCTTAGAGGCTCCAATGCTACCTTGTTCTTTCCCCTGCAGACATGAAGAATGCGAAGAGAGAGGCTATAGTGGTGAGTGTGGTCATCCACAGGGATCTTACCTGGGTGCTGGGTGCTGGGTGCTGGGTGTTGGGTGCTGGGTGCTGGGTGCTGGGTGCTGGTACCCAGCAGAGACCAGGCTCTGGAGGTGTATTTATGCGTTCTGGGAGGCACAAGCGTTTGACCACAGACACAGCTTGCTACATGGCAAGCCTCTGATAGGATTCCTTCCCTCACTGAACATGTCCGCTGATATGTTTCCTCTGGGTTTCAGAAATACTGAGTAGTGGTGTTCATTACCCATACCAGCTCTCCACAAGAGGGCACTGGGGGAGCAGAGCTTAAAGGCCAGTGCTAGCGCTGCAGCATTCCTCGGGATTTCATTTTTCTTGACTTTTCCACAACTTTGCAAGAAAGGGACAGCCAGCGTGGGTCTGAGCTTGGCTCTGTCTACCCCTTAGACACATGACCCTGGAGACCTCCATGTCTTTGGGAGCTTTAGATTTCTCCGTGAAGTGGAGTGGAGGACACCCACCCTGAGACAATGGCTGGGGAACTCTGTGAAATGCTCATCCTGGCTAGAGCCACCCCCTCACTGTCTTCCTCTGCTATCAATGTGATACAACACCAAGGCAACTTAGAGTGATTTATTTGGGGATCACAGCTCCCAAGAATTAAAGTCCATGGCCATCATGGTGGGGAGCAAGCCTGATGCTGGACCAGTAGCTGAGAGCTTACATCTGCTGGACCAGTAGCTGAGAGCTTACATCTGCTGGGCCAGTAGCTGAGAGCTTACATCTGTTGGACCAGTAGCTGAGAGCTTACATCCTGAGACACAGCCACAAGGGAGACAGAGGAGGAGGAAGATGGGAATCGAGTGGGTGTTTGAAACCTGCAAGCCCACGCCCAGTGACACATCTCCAACACACCTCCTAGTCCTTCTCAAACCATTCTGTCAAGTGAGGTTCAAGTAATCAAACATAGGAGCCTTGGGGCTATTCTCCTAAGACCAACACACTCATCTTAGTTCTTTTACTTTCTCTTACTGAGCCCGATAGAGATAAAAACTTGATACCTCCCCTTATATCCTCTGTTCCCCCCGATAAACCTTGTTATGATGTAAGATGAATACTTTGAGTGAATCTGTATCACGAGTCTCAGTACAGCTTAAGGGGCAGGGAGGGTGAGGGCTTGGCTTTACACTTCACCTCCTTAGTGCTTCAGCTCTTAGGTTAGTCTGCTAGTGGGAGGTAGGAACGGCTTTGGGCTTCCACGGTCTTCCCATCTAAAAGGAGCACCTAGGGTGCCAGGAGGAGGCCACTCACAGGTGGCCTTAAAACTGTGCCACATTGATCTGTTAAATAAACAAACCCTCATGGCATGAAACTCAGGGCTTTCTAGATGACCTAGCAGGTGAAACACGTGCAATTCCCACCTCTCTTCAGGATCCAGAGCTGTGGGGAAGGGACTAGGTGGTGCTGGTATGGAAAGGCCCACTGAGCTCTGAAGAGCTTGCTAGCATGCTGAGGACCTTGCTTTTATCACTTTTTTAGAGTATCCTGTAGTGAAAGGCTGTCTATAGGTTGGGGACAAGCACATTTAGCAGAGCTTGTAGCTGGAGGATAGCACACCGATCATGGAGGCTGGGCCTTAGAGGAGCTAGTTGGAGCACTGTTGACCACAGTAAGTTCTCTGGTGGGCCTACTTCTAAGTCTGCCTGCCGGGGAAGCATGGAGATTATGGCAAATCTTTGCCAGGCACTTGGTGTCTTGACTCTTGCTTTTACATAGTTTAGATAACATTTTCTCAGGATCCTTTCCTAGCCCACAGGTCTGGGTTAATTGCTCACCACCTGTGTCCCATAGCATCTGACACCTCTCCTGTCATAGCCATGTATCTTCAATGGAGCCTTTGTTTGTCAGTGGCAAGTTATGTCACTGTGGTGTCCCTAACATATGGCCCAGTGCTTTGAACAAGGGAAGCCAGGTGTAAATGCCTGTAAGCCATCACTTTGGAGATAGAATCAGAAAGATTAGGGGGTTGAGAGACTTGGCTACATACCCAGTCCACGACTAGCCTGGGCTTAACCTTGTCTTAAGAAAATAAGTGATAAATGAGTAAAAGAAATAGCAAAGGAAGCCTTGAGTGAGGATGGGTGGCTTGCCTGGGGTGAACCACAGCATTGTGCTGGAAGCAGTCTCTTTTCCTTAGGAGTCTGTCCAGATGAATACTGTCTTTGATGGAGAAGCCACAGACCCAGGTAACCAAATGGCAATGCCACCTATGAGGACACTCTGTGCTCTGGGACAGAAGAGTTGGAACAGTGTCCAGTATCCTTTAACCACTGGTCAGCACCTTGGCTGTGTTGTCCGCAGTGTGAGGGTGACCCTTTTAGGCTCTGACATTGTTAAACTGGGTGCTGGGTGCTGTGAGGCAGATTGCAGACCCATCTCTTAGAGGACATCGCAGCGCTCCAACCTGCTGCTGCTCTCCAGGGTGATTTCTCCTCCTACTGCCTATTTACAAGCCAATTTAGGAAACTAGTGAATTAAAACTTCGAAGCTTTCCCTTGCTCACTGATCCTCTCTCACCTCCTTCCAGTGTGCTTCAAGTACCATCTTATTAGTAGTGAAGTGGCAAGTTTGGCTCCCCAACCCCTAGATCAGGGCCAAGAACGTCTTGGTTGATAAGAACATAAGGTAAAGCTGGCCTCCAGAACTCTCATTGCCCCTGAAATCAGCTCCAAATTTAGCTCCCTTACACATATCCATTGACTTAACAAAGGCTCAGTTATAGAGGTGAGTAAAGGGAAGGAAACTGACTTCAGGAGGCGAGTGTGCTGGCTCCCAGCCACCTTCATAAGCAAACGGACCGGCTGTCAGAAGGAGGATGCTCCTCTCCAGTGAGAGGCTGCTGCTGTTGGAATTAAATTTCCCTCTATTATTAGGTACTTGTTACCATGATGTGCCCACATTAGCATAAGTGCTGGAGGGATCCTGAGCCTAGACAGGCCACTTGTGCTGTATTGCAGTGGTAGGAGCTGGGCTTGCCTCAAACCCCAATTTACAAGAAGCAAGCCAGGGAAGACTTGCGTAGTTCCTATGTGCTAGACAGAAGAAAAGAGGAAGAAAGGAGCCAATTGGCCCAATGTGAACAAACACTTCAATTAGTGTCTGCTGGCTCCAATGAGAATGGCTGCCTCTCCTCATCCCTGCAGGACCAGATCAGTGTCTACACTCTCTGACAACCTGACATAAACCAAAGAACCCCACCTGCCCTTAGTGAATTCCTTTGTATGGCTGTATTCAAGGGTCTTTTAAAACAAAATAAATCCCACCCTACCGAGTAACCCCACTAGAAATTGAACCCAATTTATTTGATAGCCACAAGGAAGTCACAATTTACATGGACCCTCATCTTACAAGCCTGCCAACCTTCCCTTCCAGAGAGGCACAGTGTGAGCTTCACAGCTTGGGGGAATCGCTGTCTGGGTGCTGTCCATCTCAGGGGTCACATCTAGCCTCCTTCATCTTTCCCCAGTCATCAGAACAGAACAGGGAGAAGTAGGAAGACACAGATGTGTTCAACCTTTTGTTTTACATGATTGCTATATCATCTGCCCCTAGTGACCGGGGAAATATATGAATTCAACTCAAAAACTGGTGCCAGGAAGTGGAAAGACCCATTAACTCAACTGCCTACCTGGCCTGAGCCCAGCCCCCAGCACAGAGGCACGGCTGCAGAAAGGTCATAACAGGTGTGTTTGCCAGCCTCCTCGTGAGGGACAGGGACCAGCCTGTGTGTGTGGGGGGACCTTGCCTTAAGCTGCACAGGGACAGTGATGTGTTTGACCCAAGTGCACGAATGTGGGCTGGCAAAACATTTTAGATATTTCTGAAATGGGATTTGATCACACAATGGTCTCTTTCTGAAATGGCACTGGGAATTTTTCTCTCTAGGCTCACAACTGTCTGTGCTCATCGGCTCATGCCAAGTTGTCCCTGTGTGTTCTTCATAATTGTGGCCAGGAAGCCCCTTCAGCTCAGCCTCACACCATTTGCCCTAATACACCCATCCTTGTGTTCATTTATAAATATAGCTCAACACAGTAAACCTGACCACGAGTTGTTTTTTGGAAGACATAAATGGGGGTTGGAAAGATGGCTCAGAGGTTAAGAGCACTGGCTGCTCTTCCAGAGGTCCTGATTCAATTCACAGCAACCACATGGTGGCTCACAACCATCTGTAATGAGATCTGGTGCCTTCTTTAGGTGCACAGGTGAGAACACTGTATTCATAATAAATAAATAATAAAATTAAAAAAGACATAGCTGGTACAGCAAGCCATTCATTTGGGAAGAAGAAATGTAGTGTTATTTTATTTTACTTTAATTTTGTTTGGATGTATTTTGCATTTGACAAACTATGCAGATCTGAGGCATTTACCCTGTTAATATGCGGGCTTCTTCCAGAGACAGACACAGTCCTCTTTGGTAGATTAGTTTTGCCTTTTAAAAACTCATGAAAATGGCTTTCTGTCATGTTTGGGGGACCATTGATGGCCTTGTATGACTTTGCACCAGCTGAAGGAGGCAGAGCCACCGCTGGATATGACCGCAGCGTTCTACAGAGGTAGCTCCAGGGTCTACTCCAGCGTCAAAGACTGAGGTCCAGTCGCTCTGCCTCCTTTACGACTCTTGGGACTGTCAGTCCTTTTCATTTTAGTCCTTCTGATAAAGATGACCCATGAAATATATTTCTCAAAGTGGAAATAACATCGGTTTGAAATAACACAACTCCTGTCCGCTTTCTTCCCACATCCTGCCATTGGCTCTAAATGTATATACCCTGGAAAGTGCTGCCCAGCAGTAGACCTTAAACTCCCTGCTGGCACCTAACTAAAAGTGACATAATGGGTCTTAACAGGACCTTTACAACAGAGGCCTGGAAGAGCAGCGTGGGCCTCAGTTGCCCTCTGACTTGTTCTTAGCTGCCGAGAACTTAGTTCAATAACTACCAGGAAGAGTAGGCGGGATCCATCACCTCAGCACCCCAACCCCACTGAGGAGGCCCACAGCAGAATCCTCACAGGACACAACCCCTCACACAGCTCAGTGGCTGGTTTTCTGTGTGCTGGAGCCAGAGAAAGGCAGACATTGGTAAAAACTGACTTAGCTAGAGACACGGCTTATTAATAACACTGGGCTGCCGGGGAGCTCCCTTGAATGGGTATAAATCCTGCAAAAGACAGCTGAGCCACTCCCTCATGGGGTTAGAGCATGTGAAGTGGCTGGTTACCCATTTCAGAATTTTGAAGTCCTCGGAGCACCAGCTAAAATGCGTTCTTCGGAGGTCTTCAGTGTTGATGCAAGTTCCGTGAAGGCAGCTTCACAACAGCTCACAAGCCCATCGAAGATGGCAGAAGGTTCTAGGGTGGCAGGAGACTGGGCTTTGAGAGGGATGGGTGCTGTGCAAAGACCTAACTCTCCAGGCGAGCCCAGAAGGACCCCAGGAATGGGGCAGGGTCACCCAGAAGCTTCAGAGAGCACAGCCCTCCTCCTTCCTTATGCATATGTAGCCTTGTGAGGCTGAGGCCCAGGGCTAAGAATCTACCACAGAGCTGCCCTTCAGTCTCCAATACTGGCTGCTGATGGACTGTCCCATTTCCAGTTTTCAAAAATTGGAAGTGAATTAACCCAAGCATGAAATCTCCTTTGTAATCTAGCACCACTCTGTGTGTGTGTGTGTGTGTGTGTGTGTGTGTGTGTGTGTGTTGTACACACTTGTACTTACTGAGGAGCCTTTGTCAAAAAAGTAATGGAGATGCCCAAGTGCAGGACGAGGCCCAGGCAACTGGGCCAGCGCAATGTAACTACATCCCTACTTGATCTTCTGTGGATGAATCCGGTGGCTAATGAACTTTTAATCTGGACCCCAATACAGAGTCAAGTGGGGAGGGAAGTTGCACTCAGAATACACAGATTGTTGTGTCACCCGTATCGGGGACAAGCTGTGACACTCACTCTAAGGTAATGAGCCAACTCAGAAGATGACCAGCTCACAGAGGAAACACAGAGAGCTTGGTGTGGCTGTGAGCACCTGTGTCCCAGCTCCTCAGGAGGGTAAGGCACAGCAAGTAATCTTGACAGCTGGGACGCCATGAAGGAACTGTGGGAGAAGAGGAGATGGAGACAGAGAGTCTCTTAACATATGGCCACATTTTTGCTGCACCATTTAAAAAGTAATTGTTTCAGCACTGGGGAGGGTGAGACAAGAGGACACTGACTTTGAGGCCAGCCTGGGCTAAACAGTGAATTCCAGCCAGCCTGAACTAGAGCATCAAACTGCCTTAAAAGCAAAGCAAACCAAAGGAACCACAGCTGAGTCTGATACTCTGTGATCACGTGTTCTTGTCCTTTGCGTCAGTTCATCCTGCTATGTCCAGTTCACAAAACTCCAGAGAGACCACTGTTGGGGTACCTCAAATTGAGGAGGGGTCACCAAACTGGATTCATCACCCCAAGAATCAAGAGTCCACGCGCCAATTGATACAACACGCAAGAGGCTTTAATTAGGCATCTGCAGCTGGGCCTCTCGGTCAGCTTTTAGACCGATTGGCCCCGAGGTTCAGTTATAATCAGCTTTTAAAGACAAAAACCACAAGCCTTTGGGAGGGGTCCCTATCTCGTGACAGGAGGGGGGGTACGTGACTACTGACCAGGGGAAGTAGATGTTCTTCTGACCTACACATTGTAAATTCCTCAGACCTTGGTATGTGTTAATTATCTCTCCCTAAGTAAATGGTGTTATCATCTCCTTGTTTCCCACAAATCTTGTTTGCCCATCTCTGACGCCCTGGTCAGTTCTTCACAGGTGGTCAGCAGCCCAGAATTGGCCTTTTGTGGGTTTACAGCCCTTCTGCAATTAAGGTCTCTAAACCATACATTCCATTCTGTGGTTTGGCCAGTTCCTGGGATGGGGTCCTTTGTTCACTTCCCAAGTTTTCTAGTGGGGTGCCCTTCCTGTTTAAGCTTATATTTTGTTTCTATAAATTCAGGGTCTTTCAACCACCAAATGTGAGCACAAGGTTTCTTTACTGAATTCAAGCCTAGGCAGGGACCTTGTCCCACCGACTGGCACACGGCAGCTGCAGGAGAGGGTCCTGAGCCTCGTAAGCGACCAAAACCACAGGATAGGGTGAGGGGTACTGGTTCAAAACTGATTGGTTGAGATGTCTAGAACAGGAGATTTCCATAGGTTAATCTTAGCCCTGGGTATCTGCTCTTCCTGTAGGAGTCAGGGCCGTGTGTGGTTATCTGTTCTTCCTGAGGGCCTGCTTTTCCTGGAACTGGGTGGGTGATGTGAGCCAGTCTGCACAGGTTCTGGGGTGAAGATCCCATGTTCTGTTTCTGGCCCTCTTTTCTAAAATGGCCCTGGTTTTGGTCTCTCAATCCTTCGTCCCTCCCACACCTTAGTCCCCCCTCTTCTCAAACTCCTTATCACATGGATACTCTTTGAGAACTGAATGAAGGCTGGAGGAAGTAGACTTGGGCCAGAGAAGATTATGAAAGTAAGGGGTTGACCTGAAGGGTGTTACAGGTGGGGAGACTCAGAATTGGAGAGCATGGGTCAGAACCCCGAGGCTTCCCTTCAATACAGTGCAATCTGGAGTGGCTACCTTAGTGTACAGCAAGCACTGATAAGGAAAGCAGTGCTCTGGGAAATGGAGGCTGGGGTTCTTTATTAAAGACATAGTCACTTACAGGGGAAGCTGCTAAGTGCTCTGCTCTCAGAAACACGGCCAGCATCCGAGAGAGAGACTTACTTTCTCCTGTGTATCTCTCGCTTTTCTCACGTCCCTCTGTCCATGTGGGTTGTGGACAGTATCTCGGGCACGTGAGCTCTCCCCTGCAGTTCCCCTTTCAGTCTAATTAAAAGATTTAGACTTGATACAAAACTCAAACATATACAGCATATATACATAGAAGATGATAAACAAATATCTATCCCATCTAAACCGTAAACTCATCTGAAAGAGATGCCCAAGTCTGAACACCTCCTTCCACTCAGCAAACATTTGTAGGTGCAGGCTGAATCGGGTAGGCAGATGTTCATGTACCCACATATGGCAGCCACAGCCTTTCTACCTAGATCTAGATAAACAGCCCAATAACCGGCTGACTGCCAGCAAGGGTGTACAAAGTGTAGCACTGCTCTGAGCTGTGAAGACATAGCTCAGACATAGCAGCGAAGGAAGCAGTGTCCTCCTGTGTTTACATTCTAGGGAGGGATCGGAGGCTGAGCATTTAAGTAAACAATGGCTGGGCTATATATAAAATAGATCTTCCCCACAAAAGTACCTTGTTAGCCACAGCTCTCAGCCCAGGAAGCTGCTGGCTGAGTATCAGTGCCTATTAATATATTTCAGGTAAGCAGAACCCTACTCCATGCATTTCCATCCTGCATGATTCACTTGGTACGTTTCTGACACCCAGGCACATTTTAAGTATATCAGTACTTCACTGCTTTTTCTGGCTACATAATAGCTCATTGCATGCATGTACAACATATTTACTCATATATCAATTGGTGGGCGTTCATTTCAGTTGTTTCCACCTTTTGGATATAGTGAATATTGCCGCAGTGAACACATCCTACAAGCTTTTGTGTGGACAAAAGTCCTCATTTATTTGAGACATATGTAAGAATGGAGTTAATGGGCCATACAGCAACTTGAACCTTTATTCCAGAAGCTGCTCCACCCCCTTCCCTCCCAGCAGAACATGAGGGGTTCATAAGAGTGTGGCATTTAGCCCTTCCAGTACTCATCCACGGGCTTGAGGGGTTGGTCTTGGTCAGGAGTTCTAGATCTGGAGAACTCTATGAATCTAGCGAGAGCAGTTTGCAGGCTGGCCTGCCCAAGCCTCTGGATTGCTGTGGCTAGCAAGCTCGGCCTCTGCCCTGTGACCCTCACAGCCTTCTCTGAGTGGGTCTGAGGTCCATCTCTTTGGTGCACAGGAAAAACTGAAGATGTCGGGAGAGCATGCTCAGGAGCTGCAGAGCAGGCAGTCAGCTGAGCCGTGTCTCCTCTGCCACACAGGCAGACCTCAGCT